AAATAAGCCAAAAGCAGCTCCTGCAAAAGCAATCAGGCCGCATTTGCTGACATAAAAATGCCCATGTGCTGCTGCAAGAGCCATGCTCCCAAACTCTGTCACAGGCTGAAGAGGAGGACATGAAGCTCATTCCCACGCTTCAGTTTGCCAAAGTAGAAGCCTGTATCATCCCGTTCTGCTTTTTGTCAAGGTTGCCCAGAACGTTTTCTTTTCAGTAGGTTCCCAGCGCAAATCATTTGGTCCTGCACAGTGTAGCACCAGAGCAGCAGCTCTTATCTGGATTGTGGTAGGTCTGAAAAACCAGTCAGAGGCCGGAATGAATGAGTAAGCTCGTGAGTAAGAGCTCGAATGGAGGTTGTGTTAGCAGGAGCGCTTGTTGGGCCGCCAGGCCCCTGGGTACATGGTGCCGTCTCTGTGTGCATAGCTGCGCATGAGTCACAGCCAGCGTGCCTGAGCTGGGCTGGCTCTTACTTATTTCAAATTCAGTGAAAGCTCTGAGAAAAATGCAGCCCTTTGGTGACTTTCAGTCAGGATGCTAATCTGCAGTGGAGGGAGCTGGTCCTCACCCAGCTGGAGCTCGCCAGCCATGCGCACCATCACTTGACACCAGCTTCGCAGGTGTCTTTATTCTTCTCATACGGGGTAAATTGCACCCCTTTGTTATTTTCAGAAGAAAATGCCATTTTGTAGCACTCCTCTTAAGGATAGAAAGTTAAATCTAACTTGTCATTTGATACCTGGCTGAAACTTCTGAATCTTCCTCCGAAGTCATCAGTCTTAACACTTTTCACAAGGCATTTTAAATTACATCATTAACAGTTGGCAGTTTTCAGTGGTGCTTCTCCAGCAAAAGACCAACTTAACAGAACCCTGCTGGAGTCATGATCCAGAACTCCTTCTTACCAGTGGAAGTCTTCATTTTGGGAGAAAGTAGGTCAAACATCCAATTAATCATTTATCCATTGACCAAGGTAGCTGGAATGTCTTGGGAATAGCAGGTTCCATAAGCAGTGCTGAGTTCAAGTGCTTTTATTTAGTAACAAGAGACAGATGTTTGTGTTGCRGTGATGTTTTATCACAAAATGAAACGGTTTAAGTAGTTGTTTGGTGACTAACAGACAGAGAGGTAGCCGTGTAATTGCTGGGCTTGCTGCAGCAGGCCCTATTTCCTGGCATTCCCAAGTTATGGGCTTGCTCCCAAGGCTGGCTAACAAAGTCCAGGAGGTAGCTAACCCTGGAGCTTTCCAGGAGGAAACCGGCCTGAGGAGCTTTCCTAAAGCTGTCCCACTCGACCCTGTGAAAGGCAGCACACACCCATCCCAGGTGGTGAAACCTGGGATTGAAGCTCCCAGAATCCCGTCACATGGCAGAAACTCTCTGGGATTTGGGAGTTTATCTCAAGAGGAGGGGTTAAGGGTAGTGAAGCCTCCTGGTAATCCAGCTCGGTGAGGTTCAGAGCTGCTCTGAGGTCCCCTGCGCTCGCCACTCCTTATTCTTTTTCTCTCCTCGCTCATCACCCACATGGATGTCTGTGGAAGTTTTATGCCTGGGCTGTGTTCAAATCAAGTACCAGGTTACTTTGGCAGGAAGGTTGTGGCCTAGGAAGATTGTCATGAGTTTCTTTCATCTATAGATGTGCTTCCTTTGCTTTTCAGGTAGCTACAGTTTGGTAAATTGTGTCTTTCTGGAGACTGGTGAAAACTCTTGCATCTATTTAATGCCTGCCTGTTACTCATTTACCCATCTTTGTGCCTGATTCAGAATCAGGAAAGAAATCACAATTTAATCCTCTCTTCTCTTCTCTTCTCTTCTCTTCTCTTCTCTTCTCTTCTCTTCTCTTCTCTTCTCTTCTCTTCTCTTCTCTTCTCTTCTCTTCTCTTCNTCTCTTCTCTTCTCTTCTCTTCTCTTCTCTTCTCTTCTCTTCTCTTCTCTTCTCTTCTCTTCTCTTCTCTTCTCTTCTCTTCTCTTCTCTTCATAAAGCAGAATGTTGTTTATGGAAAGTTTGATTTATTAATAATCCTCACAAAACATCATTAAGGATCTTTCCCAGTGCCTGTCTTTAAACTCAGGAGCTCAGAAGCTAGTCCCTATGTTTTATGATCTTAAAATCTTGGTATTTTTCCAGGTATTAATTCCAGCTTGATAGGGAACCAAGAGAAACAGAAACATTTTTCATCTTCACTTCAGAAAAATGTGCTCAGTCTTCTCCTGTTAAAGAGATATCTATGCATTTTTACCTCCTTGCTACCTCACCTTTGCGCTGGGCATGACGTGAGCTTCCCCCTAAGCAGATGGCACCACCCAGGGCAGGGCTGGCATGAAGCAAGCAAAAAGCTTCCACCCTGCACTGGCAGGAGGCAGGTAGATGGTCAGAGAAGAAGGAACCACTGCAGTGCCTGGGGAGCAAGGTCCATCATCAGATCTGCCGGATCCCACGTGGGGGCTCTGGGCAGGGCCTGTGCACCGTACTCTAAATGCTAGTTCCTCTCCCAGCTGCTTTACACTCTTAGATGAAGGCAGAAAGAGAGGCACGAGGAGGTGAGAGGCGGCTCAGGCTGGGCTGGGTGGTCCCTAGGAAAAAGGGAAGAGCTGGGATCAAGTTGCAGGTCAAGTTGCAGAGCGTTCGTGGGGCAAAGTGTGGCCAGAGGAGCCTCCGGAGGCTGGAGACTGCCGGCCTCGCCGCTCTGCTGCCTGCCCTCTCCCCCATTCATGCAGAGGCTGAAGGAAGAAGGCCACTCCAAGCAGGAATCATTATGCCTGTGCCTACGAGCAATATTCTCTAGAAAAACAACAGTAAATGCCAGAGGAATGGCCCGTGCTCTGGGATTACTTGTCTGTGGTCACGTTCTGGCTGGCGCAGCCTCTGTAGTTCTGCATCTGTTATCAGATTGCTCCATGCAAGATGAAATCTGTGCTCAAGATCCAGCTTTTTGATTGAAGATTTTCTCTCGCCTGCGGGTCTGCTTTGCAGTTGTACCCAGAGTGCTGCTAAAACATTTTCTCTCTCTCCTGTGTAATAGCAGAGTAATTTTCTTTTTCCTGGATTTCTCCTTGTCATTCAATCTGACAACCCTTCCCTGGGAGATGTTGGCTTCTCCCCCTCCTCTGAGGCAGCACGGCTGCCAAAGTCCATCCTGGATTGAGAGCTTCTCTCTGGCACCCTCCCCACAGCTGCAAAGGCGAGGGAGAAGCCAGGCAGCGAGACCCAGCAAGAATCCCTGTGGTCGGCCTGCTGCAGGAGCCCCTGTGGAGCCGCAGACATCAGCCATGCCGGAGGAACGGAGCGGGCTCTCCGGCAGGGAAGCAGCCAGGTGCTGCTATCGTTAGGCACTGGCATGGGATCTTGGGCACAGTTCTAGGTGGCAGCTGGCCACAAAGGCCGTGCGAGGCCCTGGCCACTGCCGGCCCCACGGCTTTCCCAAGGCAGCCCTCACCAACCAAACCTCGGGGCTCTGCCATGGGACGCGGTGCTTTCTGCTGCGGGGCCATCCCCACAAGTGCCACATGGCTTTTAATCCCCCAGCTGGGCCCCCAGCCCAAGGCTTTGGGAGCCTCCCGACATTCTCGTGGATGCGTTTTGGGCAGCGCGCAGTTCCATTTGGATCAGCGGCACTATAACCTCACCCCTGGAGCATCCAGACAGAGGAGCTCTGCTCACAAAAACAATTGCAGCTTTTTGTTCTCTGGCTTTCCTGGGCTGCTGCTTTTTGTTCGGGTTTATTCTCAACATAAATAAAACAAAATCAGTGCAAGAAATAGTTCTAAAGCTACTAAAGCTGCATTGCAGGAGATGACCGGAACAAGGAAAACATCCTCATGGGGCTTTTTTTATGAGTAAAATTGGTTAGTCTGGAGTTCAGACTTCTACTCACCCTATAGGACTATCCCCCCAAATTCACCTCGAATCCCAGCAAGGTGCATTAAAGCACCATTAAAGCAGAGACATCAGCCTGAAAAGGAAAATAGAAGTCGGGTCTCGCTGCTTCTCCACGGTTCTTCTGCACCTGCTCGTGTGGTGACCCATTGGTGCCACTGCCAGCGGTTGGGGACATGGGTGTTCCCGGCCAGGGACCCTTGGAGAGGAGCCACCTGTGGCACCCGCTGTGGCAGCCCCTCATCCCCCTCAGCCCCGCTCTGCCTTCGTGCCAACGTCTTCCTCCCCTCTGCAGAGCCTGGGGGCCAGCAGGTACAAGGCCCCGAGCGGAGCTGAGGGTGCAGAGCCCCCTGTGCTGCTGCCCCAAGAAGCCTCCTCCGAGCTGCGCTGGCTCCACGCTTCTTCTGGCAGGTTTTCACTGGGAAAAACATTTATTTGGGGAGAGGAAAACAGAAAATTAAACCCACACTCACAAATGCAGAAAGCAAGCGAGGAAGTTGGAAATGCTCTGGTGCCTTTTGGGATGATTTCATATCTCAAAGAATGAATCCTCAGTACAGTAATGCTGATGCTGACATTTGGGTATTTACAGTGGGATCTTTTGCAGGTGGAAGTTGGTGAGGAAAAAAAAGAAAAAGGAGCAGCTCGGGGGGCAAAGGTTTTGTTTAAAAATGTACAACAGACCGTAGCTTAGCACCGCTGCCGCAGAAGAGTGGGAAAAGCAGCTTATTGGCTTCCCAGGAGCACTGGAATATCACGAAGAGGAGGAGAGAGAAAGGAAGTATTTGGGGACAGACTGGGAGCAAGGAGCTGGTCGAGTGAAATGAACCTTCCTGTCATCGCAGTTGATGAATCGCAGAACGGCTGAGTTGGAAGGGATCTCCAGAGATCATCTGGTCCAAGGCCCCTGCTCCAGCAGGGACAGAAGTAGAGCACAAAAGAATAAATGTGGAAGGAGAAAGAATAAGTGTGGAAGGAGAAAGAATAAGTCTGGAAGGAGAGCTTCAGTGGTGCTACTGGGAGGCGGGCGGGAGTGGGACAGGCAGAAGGGCCATGCTGGGTGCGGGGTCCCGGCCAAGCCCCCCTGTCTAATGCCGCTCTCCCCCTGCCCCTCTTCTCGTTGCAGGGCCGCTGCATCAACTTCACCCGCGTGAAGGATGCGCAGGCGCCCCCCAAATACCCGCTGAACAACGCCTGCCCCCCGCCTGCCCCCATCTATACCCCCCCGCCGCCTGCGCCTGTCTACACTCCCCCCGCTCCCCCCGCGCCCTCGCCCTCCTCCTCGCTGCCCCCGCTGCCCCCCCCGCCCGGCAGGGCCCCCCCTCCGTCGCGGCCCCCTCCTCGCCCAGCTGTCTAGGGGCTCCTGCTGCTCCCAGCTCTCCCGCCCGCGGCCCAGAGGCTTTTCCAGCAGTACTGGCTTTTCGACGTCCGTCTTGGCGGCTGGCGGGACCGCTCTGTACTCGTCTTTCTCCTTCTGTTTTCCTTTTTTTTTTTTTTTTTTCCCGATCCCGTTTGCATCAGTGCCGCCAAAACTCAGCGAGCCAAAGGGGCTGCACCCGCGAGAGGCTCCCAGCAGAGCTGCTTCCCCGTCTCATCCCCGCTGCAGCCCTGTGGTTCCCCAGCGTGATTCCCAAGAACCCCAAGGAAGGAGCAGAGAGGCAGGGGGAGCTCTCAGGAAGGGCAGGACCCCCGGGAAGAGGGTAAAAGGCTCCTGCCGGAGCAGAGCACCGAGGAGACGACGGCACCAGCTCCACAGCACGAGACCTGCGCCGGGGCAGAAATCCTGGGCCGAACAACTGCAGCAGCGGGTGGAAAAGGAGGAAACCCCTTTAAATCCAGAATGAAGGGATGACCAGCAGCTATTGCCACAGACCTTGTGTTGGAGAAGGGAATTTATTGTCACCTTGGAGGACCCTGGAAGGAGAAGGGGGAGGTCACTGCTGTCCAGCTTTGCACATGTTGGAATATGGAAGTGCAGGTGAAGGAAAATGGGAGAGCCCCTCAGGAAGTGAAAATCAAATGGAAAAATCCCCACCCCCGTCAGGACCTGCAGGAGGCTCCCGCGACCTCCCTGAGGACGAGCAGCCACCGGCGGGACGGAGGAGCGCATGGGAGCAGAGCGAACAGCCTGGGAAAGGTGGGTTCACGGAAGCGTTTCGCCAAGGTTCATTTTGGCCCATTTAACTAGGGGCTCCACTGCGCTCAGCGCCACTGACACCGATTTCCATCTCAGGAAGGGAAGTTGCTCTATGGAACAAGTGGCCGGCTGTGCTGATATCTCTAAATCCAGCCTTCCAGGGCTCCTTGCTCTGGGCAGTTTGAAGTGCTGTGAGCACTGATGCATTTCTGTTTCCCTGTAGCTTGCATTTGTTCACCCCAAAAATGTTCCCACGTGGCTTAACAGTTCAGTGTTCCCGCGCAGTATCCAGCTGGTGCCTGCTCCGCTCCAGCAGCGCCTGCCCCGCGGCTGGAATCCCGCGCGGGCCGCGCTGCTCTCCGAGGACGCACGGGCTGCGTCCTTGCCCGCTCCGGGAGCCTCAGGGCGGCGCTGGGAAGCGGCATCGGCCCAGGCGCCTCCCGGCTTTGAGCCGAAATCGACTCTCACCACGTGACTCTCTCCGTGGACGCTCCCGTGGGACATGTAAAGCATCGTCCTAGAGCCACTTCCATGAATAGCTAAAGGCTTCTGCACGCATATCGTTTTCTAGCAGATAAAGGAATGCTTTGCCAAGTAAGTGCTGTTGGAAATACTAATTCTAGCTTTTCTAGCAAAAAGGGAAAAAAAACTCAAAAAGGACGAGAAACACAGCGGGGAAAGACATGGTGAAGACTTGGTGAGGGCACGTGTGGCTGAGCCTTCGCTGTGAGCCCCAAGTCGGGCTGAGCATCTCGGAGCAGCGATCCTGCCGGAGCGCAGGCTGGCTGCACGTGGAAGTGAGAGCGGTGCCTGGGCGCCCAGTGCGTCCGGCAGCATCAGCCACAGGCGGTGCCGCTTCGACGGGACCACCGCGATGGTCAGGTAGGAGCGGGAGACTCAGTTTTGGTTGGATTCCCTCTCCCAATGGGATCTGGTCAAGTAGCTGTTGGGTGTGAAACCTGGGTAGAGCCTAACAGGATCCACAGCTATTTCTCCCAGTCATTCCAAAAAGCTTGGGAAGGAAGCGCATTTTCCCCACCGTGGCGTTGAGTTTTGGTGCGTTTGTGTGGCTGTTAACCAGTAAATCTCAGCCTCCTGCTGGGGGGAAATAAAAGCAGTGTGTGCTCCGTGATTAAAGCCAACGTGTTGCAGATGTCTACACAAATTTCCCTTCTGTTTCTCCACATTAAGGGGGGAAAAGAAAAACCAAAAATACAAAAGAAGCAAAAGAAAACCTGGATCAGTTATGGGGAAAAAAAGTGATATTAGATACCCTCTATGCAATCATCCGGCTTATGAATAAAGAAGAAACTCCAAATTTTTTGTTGTACATATTGTTATTGCATGCTTACCATATGGTAGATGGAAGCATTTCCTATCCGGTGTGGATAAAAGAACATTTTTCAAGTTGTAGTAAATTATTATAACGCCAGTGATATTTCATGGCATGTTATTGTATCAAGCTGTGCTTGTTGTATTTTTTCTTCATGGTTGTATTGCTTTTTTATAAATGTACAAACATTTCCTGCAGTGACGAGCACCTGCTTTACACAGCGTTAACTGTGAACCAGGACTGCACTCCCCATGTGCCCTTGATCCAGCGGAGGGGATCACACATCCCAGAGGGCCTTTCCTGCTGAAACCATCGTCTTTTAACGCCAGGCCCTAAAGGGGAACTTACAGACCCGCCGTGAGGCAGCTGCGGGTGGAGATGTGGGCACGGGTTGGAGCAGCTCCCTCTGACAATTAATGCTGTGTAAACGAGGTGGATTTAGCCAGGGTAGGATATACTACCCTATGTATCCTCTGCCTATAGAGCACCCTAGAAGCGYGTGGTCGGTTCGGAGTAGCTGCAAAGGTGGGCGGCCTCCTCCCAATAATCCCCATGGAGAAGTGGGAACTGAGCGGTTGGCAATGGAGGGAAGGAGCCCGCCCGCCCACCTGCGCTCCGCGCTCCCTTCAGCTCTCTCTGTTCGTTGCATGTGTCCTGTGTTAAATTTGGTCGTTACTCTGGCTGACCTTGATGTTATTATTAAAGAACTTCACAAATTCCTGCTGGGCTCCCCAGGATTCATTGGTCCGGGAAGGGGAACCAAGTGGGATGCTGGTGTCCTTCTGAAACTGGTGAAGAGCTGATGAGAGAGCAGAGCACCAGCGTGGAGCACTGGATGTGACCTGGACAGCCTGCACCTGCACAATGACCCATCACGCCTCCCGGAGCCGCTAACAAGGCAGCTCCTAACAAGGCAGCTCCTAACACAGCTGCTAATGGGGCAGCTCCTAACGAGGCAGCTCCGAACACAGCTGCTAAGGGAGCAGCTCGTCCCTCTAAGGCCTACAAGAAACCCCTGCACCTGCTTCTATTGTGCCTTCTTGCTTCCTTCTTTCCTGCCTGGCATCTCTAATCCAGCAGGCTTGGAAGTGATTGGACAGAGGAGCTGACACTTCAGGTTATTTGAGTATCTCTTTGTATTTAAAGGCTTTGCAAGGTTCTCTTTGCTGCAGGGAAGGTAAAATGTTTTTGCAGAAATGCTTGCGCAGGGTGCAGCCTTGGACCAAGCTCCTTGGTCGCGATTGTTGCAGGTGGCTGCCCCACTCATGGCCGCGGCATTCCCTGCATCAGGACCAGTGGCAGCTCTGGAGCTGCCGCATCCCTGTTCATGCCTTCCCGCGCCATCCAGAGCGGGTGCTCTGGCAGCTCTAGCAACGGCAGATGTGGAGAAAAATACTAGGATCGTCTCAAGGGTGTTTGTAGCCGGCTGTAGAGTGAGGCTGTCATGGAAACAGGAGAGCCCTCTGGCTTCCAAAAACATACGGAATTAAATGTAGCAGCAGGGGGGGTCCCGCTTGCTGAAAAGCCTGGAGTGACTCACGCAGGGATGCGGGGGCTTCTTCCCACAGCCGCCCCAGCGCAGAGCTCCATGTGCCATGGCGCTGTGGGGATTGCTGCTGGGATATGAGGATTGCTGCCAGGATACGGAGCGTAGGATTCGGCCTTTGCCGAGCCCCCCTTCGGAAGGGTTTCCTACCGATGAGACTTGGCTGCAACAGGTGCTGGCTGCAGCCAAGTGCCGGACCACCCAGACCACTGGTCGCCTCCATCGTGGCACATTTTTACATTCCCACAACATCAAATTAAATAAATAACAGGCTCGAAGGTGAGAAGCAAAAGGAACGGCCCAAACTGCTGGGAAACAGCCAGGGGATTGGGTGCTTTGGGGGTTTTAAAGCAGCTCTTGACCAGAACAGGAGTCAGGACTCACATTCCCTGATGGGGGCTTTAATTCCTTGGCGTTACAAGAAAAATAAAGGAGAATCGATAAGCTAAGGTAGGAGGAGATCCGCAATGCTGCAGCCTCATCCTCTCTGTGCATCTCTGGCTGCCTCGCACCTGGTTCTGCTCTCAGGGAGCAGCGACCAGCCAGTTCCTTGCTGCTCCCATGCAGCCTTCTGCCCCCTCCTCTTCCCAGGTGTTTCCTCTTCCTAGAATTCCCATTTTTTTCCTCCCTTTCTGCCATCACTGGAATATGACCCAGTCACTCGTGTTTCAGGGGGGATTGGAGAGGATCTTTAGCCCGTGAGATGCTGTCTCAAGCAGCGCTTTCTTGCACAAGTCTCCATCAGGACCTGGGCTCCTTGCAGTGCTCCTGGCCTGCAGACAAGGTGGGTTTTTAAGAGCAGGTTTGATTTTCTGCCCTTCCTCCTGCAGGGAGTGAGAGCGGGGAGCGGTTCCCGATGCCGGCCCATGGGTTCAACACCAACTGTCCCTGTGGTCCCCGGGCCCTGGCCCTTGACATCCCTGTCTCAACAGCATCTCCTTGCTTGTGCTGAGCACAGCACTGATATCTGTGCCCAGGGGAGCCCCGAGGGGCCTTTGGGCCTCCATTCCCCTCCTGCCCTGAGGTTCTGCACCATTTTCGGTTGGTTTATTGAGTGAAATACCCAGAAAACTTTTTGGCACTAAAGAAGTTTTCTGGCTATTTTACAGGGTGAAAAGCTTCCCTAAATTTCCAGTTGCTGGAAAGCAGGAAGGGAAAGGACCGGCCAGGAGCAGATATGCCGGCGTTTCCAAAGCAGCCTGCCCTGGTTTGGGCTTAAGAATATGGAGACTTTTATTGTTTAAAACCTAAAAATACAGCAAGAGTCAAAGTGCCAAATGCAAGCAGCAAATCCAGCTAATCCGTGCCTGTCTGTGGTTTCTCCGGCAGGTTCTCCGTGCCCGGTAGGTGCAGTGCGGGAAGAGGCGCTGGGCACCGCTCTCACTCCCTGGCAGCAGCAATTCGATCCACCTGCAAAGAGGAGAGGTGTGAGGAGGAGGAGGGACCCCCCCCAGTCCGGGACGCGGCCCCACCACCGAGGCCTCCAGGCCGCTGTCCCTGCGGCGCCGTGGGAGCCGGCTGCAGCTCGGGCACCCTGGCTGTTGCGCTGTGGGCTCGGCCACGCGGGCACCATGGGCTGCTCCGTGTCCGGGGGGACTGTGTGGGCACCGTGGGCTGCTGTGTCCAGAGCCGTGTGGGCACTGCGGGCTGCTCCGTGGACCCTGCCGTGAAGGGACCCAGGGTTTCATTCACCCCGGTCCTCGGCAATCCCACACGGGTGAGTCAGTGTTCCAGCTGTAGGGTAATGGCAGATACTACCCTTTGGAATGGGACTTTATCCAGTGCTTTCCACGTAACAAGAACATAGCAAAGACCAAAGCATCCCCAGGCCCTGGCTCTGCAAGCCCCGGCTCTGCAAGCTGCTGCTTTTCCTGCTTCTGAGGAAAGTGCCTCTTTGCTGCTGCTTCCAGGGCATTAAAGCCCAGGTCCCACCTCAGTTCTCTTTTTTTCTCCTATGCCAGCAGCACCCATCCCAGTACAACTCGTCTCCCTAAGCCCTGCTGCAAACCAGCTGCTCCCATCCAGCTGGGGCCTTAAATCGAAGACAGCTATACGTAAGTTACTGCTTTATTGCTTTTCCATGTAGGATTGGCTGTGATGGCGCTTGGACACATGGCAACTCAGCCAGGAGGGCTAAATCCAGGAGATGCAGAGCACTTAGCAACGCAGGGAGCTTTTACGCTGCAGCTGGGACAGCAGCAGGTCTGAGTTCTTGCCTCCGCTCCCCTGCTTCGGTTGGAGTTTTCCCCTGTGCACCTAATTCCCAACTCCTAATTCCCAGCTTTGTGCAACTCCGGAGTCCCCAGGAGCCCAGCTGGCTCTTGCTGGGAGCTCGGGGAACCGTGAGCACCTCGGGGGGCTCCCTGCTGCTCCCAGCACCTTCTGGGCAACCACTGCTACTCCTAGCTGCCCGGCACCCGCCCGCAGCTGCCTTGTTTAAAGCTGTTTCCATAGGAATTTGTAGGGACCATGGGAACATTTTTTACTTGACCTTAACAGTAAAGAATGAGTTGGGGAGGAGAGAAGGAGCCCAGGAGTGTGATTTGTGGCTCTGCTTTGTCTCTTCAGCTGGGGCCACCTTTTTAGCGACTCGACTCATCTGGCCTCGACTTGGCAGGTCAGCTTGCTTTTGTCTTTTCCTTTCTCAAAGGCCTCTGATGGTTTCCAATGAGCCAATAAATACACAAAAACAGGTCAGGAAGGGCCTCTCCAATGCGCCCAGGGCAGCTGCTGGGTCAGACTTGCCATGGATCAGATTCCTGCTCTTCAGTTGACCTGCAGAGCAGGGAGCCCCAGCCAGGGCCACTCCAGCCCCTTCTGCATTTGCCAGGGCCATGAAAGCTCCATCCAAGGATTTGCCTGGCGCTGTTCTGGGTGACGCTGTCCCGGCTGCCAAACGGGGTGCGTGGAGCCCCAGAATGCGCTTGAGTTTAAGCCCTTCGTTTCCCTACTTTGGACGTGCAGCCTCTAACTTGCACAAGGGTCACCTCTTCGTAACTAGATTTAACTCAAGACCAGCAATTCGGTGTGTTTAATGTAGGGCACTTGATTTTATTCAAAGGGTGAGGTACAAAAAAAGTAAGCAAAAAGACAAAACCCCAAATTATAAAACACTACAGACAAAAGTAACATACAGCACGTAACAGGAAACTAGATACGGACTGGTCCCCTCAAACCAAGCCAGCCAGGTATGTACAAGCAGGGGCAGATCGGTCTAAAAGGGCAGAAATGGTTAATATTTGCCACTCCACATGTCTCTGTGCACACAGTGAAGGTAAGGCAAAGAATTTTCTCTGATTTGACCCAAATACTTCTTTGTTTCTTCTTGTCGTTTCTCCAGCAGGGGAGGGTCTCGGTGCTTTGAGGCAAGTTCAGTACTTTCAGATAGAAGCTAAAATCAGCCACAGTTAAACACTGACAGACTAGTTAGGGCCAGGCTTAAATCCTGTCTTCTCTTCTGTTGCCAGGCACGTACCTGGGTGAAGAGCTGCCACTGACTGCAAGGAAGGGAGAAAAAACTAATTTTATATTAGTATCTCAGTATTAGGCTTACACTGGGAGGTATTCCAAGTTTAACCAAGCCCAGTTTGTCTAGGCCAGTCCAAGGCTCCTGCAATCTCACTGAATTAGGGCATGAGATCCCTCCTGCTCCACTCGGGAATGGTCAATTTCAAGCTTTCGCTAATATGGCTCTTTATAGATAAGAGGGATGAGGCTGGAGGATCACGGGGCTGGACGGGTGTCCCACAGTCCTCAATGCTCCCAAGATAAATAAAACCACTAGAGAGGCTGCAAAACGCTGAGGCGCTTACCCACGCACGGGCACCTTTATGGCCAGTATTTATTCAGCCAGTAAAGCCAAGGCCTTTGTTGAGTGGAGCTAGAATGAAAGAAGAAAAACTTCCTGACCAAATTACATGCCTGTGTATGATTTAAATTCCTACTGTTGTGGAATAAACTCAGTAAGAGGTTGGAACTGCATTGCTAAGGCAGGAACAACCTGCACTGAGCTCAAAAGTACCTGTGCTTTGGTAATTAAAAAACAACTACAGCTGTATCAAGTTAAGCTGCTATGGACAGAGATGAGGCGAGGAGGTGCTCGACTCCAGAGAATGTCGGCTGCTGCGTGCAAGAAAAGGCTGCTGCCATTGCCAAGGGGGAAACCCTGTGTCTGCATTTACCTGTGGCTCAATTTTAGGGCAGAGCGACTACATTTTTAAACACCCAGATAGGAAGGAGGGAAGGTGACTGGCTCAGGAAGCAAAACATTCATCCCAGAGAGCAGGAGACTGACTGGCTGTTAATAAATAGCACGAGACGTTCTAGAAGTTGCCTGGGGGAAAAGAGCATCTGTTCAGGAGAAGGCGACAGGCTGGGCAGAACGAGGCAAGGAAAGGCGGGAGTCCCTCGCACATTCCCACTTGATGCTCAGCCCTTAACAAGAAGCTGCTTTACAGATTCCCTACCCCGCCCCACAGCTTGTTTGACACCGAGCGCTGCCACATGCCGCGGTCTCACTGGGAGCAGGAGCTAAAGCTCGGCTTTGGCAGGTGGAGGCCAGGCCGTCTCAGGCAGCGAGCAGTTTGCAGGGAAACACCTTTTTGCTGGCAAAGGAAGACTCCATCACGCGTTTTAATGCCTTAAATGTCAAAACGTAAGCATTTGTCTAGCACAGCATCAAACCAAGTAACTCAGCAGTATCTGTACAGGTGCCTGCACTGTGTCAGCTTGACACTTCTAACTTTGCCTCCTCATCTTTGGTCCTTTTTGCACACAACAGGTTTCTGCAAATACCTCAGCGCGGGCCGTATCCAACACTTCCCGTGTGACTCACAGGGCAGCGCTGCTGTTTGCCACCACATTATCAGGGGCCTTCCTGGCTTGCAAGGCTCCAGCCAAGGCCACGTCTGGGCAGCGCTCACTCTTTCCTTCTGAGCCAGCTGGGAGGCAGAGCCTGAACAACCTGCAGGGCTTCATCTGCGCTGCCCTCCGTGGGGTCCAGGCTGCACATCCTTGCGCTGGAGTGTGCGGGGCCCCGGCCTCCATTCAGCCCCTCTGCGTTACGGTTCCTGGTCCCCTTCTCCAGGCTGGGCACAAGCAGGAGGAGGGAATGTCCTCGGACACAGAGCAGACTCTGCCTGCCCTCGAAAGCCTCTTCCTGAAGCGCTGCGGACGTCTGTGCGGCTCAGCCGAGGCCCGGAGGCGACACCTCTCGTGAGCAAATGCAGGACAAACACAAGGCAACATTCACTACTTTGTTCTTGCACAGACACTGGCAGCACAGCCCATTCATTAAGCAACAGTCTGCACACAACACATCAGTAAACATACATGGATCAGTTTAAGAAGCTATTTCCAGGCACAGTAATTTTTTTCTCCTTAACATTATAAAACTAAGCTAGGAACTGATCTGGAGTCGAAGTTACGTAGGTTCCTTCAACATACACAAAACAGAATTGCCACAGTCATAGGAACAACACGGAGCAACTGTCTTCATGGTGGGAGCTGCCTGGGCTACTGAGCAGGGGTCTCATCCCCTGTCCGGAGGAACCGCTTCTCAAATGGTTCAGGACAGTCTAATCAGTCCAAACACTCTATATTTAAAGCCATTCTTCAGGGACAGTAGCCGCCCACATCCTCTCCTGTTTGCCAGGTATCATTTCATGCCTTGTTCTCACTGCACAGAACTAACTCCAAAGGCAACGGGCCGTTAGGAAACACACCCGCGGGCAGGAGGCAGCGCAGAGCAAGGCCCATGTGCGGGACAAGCTCCATGCAAGCCGGCAGGAAGCTCCCCTGCTCGGGACGGCCCTTCCCTCCTCCGCTCGGGGCAGCCGGCAGCACCAGCGGCACAGGGAGCTGCAGGAGCTGCCCTGGGCAGAGCCTTGTGCAGCTGCCGGGGAACTCGCTCACGGGGACAAAGCCTCCACAGGGACGAGCTGGTGCCGCTGGCCAGGCAGAGCCCAGGCAGCACCGTCCCCGTCCCCAACAGGAACGGGCTGCAGGACAGAGCCACCTCGCTGCCATTTGCTTCAAATGCCACCGTGCTCAGAGGGGTGAAAACTTCATCCCCCAGACTTGCATGGCACCAAACCCGAGCGCTCCCGTACTCCTCTTTCTCCTCCCGCCTTGGGAGGCAGCCCCGTGCAAGGGACGCTGTGGGAGCGAGCTCCACCGCAGYGCTGGGCACAGCTAGGGACGGGATCTGCTTTTTGGCCCACTGAACCTACCAGATTGTCAGCTGCTGGGTATTTGGCATAGATTAAAATCCTTTTGATGGAACTCAACTTGTTCTTTTCTTTTTGTTTAAGCCCATTTACCAAGTGCCCCAGACTGAGGCAGGCTGACAAATCAGCTGAATTCTCTTGTGAAAGAGGCAGAGATTGACCCAAACACTTGTTCCAACTTTGTTCGCTGCTAAGGTATCTGCACGAGCCTGAGCAGGAACAGCTTTTGTTCCAGCTGCATGTTCTGCCCTCCTGCTTTACCGCCCGAGAGCACAGCAGGTCGTTCACTCAACGGTCTCTGTTCAGCAACAGGAATGAGCCACACTGGGTAAGAAACAGTGACATTATCTTAAAGTAAAGCGGAGGGCCCCTTACCTAGAAGACTCAGAAATCTTTAAAGAAAACCATTTAACACCTTTCATGAAAGTCTAGTGTTTGGAAAACCCAAAGCTATTGATATAGCATGTGGAATCAATTTGACAATCACTAATGTAATGGAATTGCGGTGATCTCATACACAAACGATGATTTAGCAAAATAAGATTTACCTAGGGGACTTTAAAATCAAGTTATTTTGGTACCAAAAAAAGTCTTTCATTTAATTCCCCTTTGCCCCTATGATTCAGATGATCTTTCACTCTACAGTTACGGACTTGGCCAGATTTCTTGGGTAATCAACCTGCAGAGAGGGAGGAGAAAGAAAATGCTTGTGAGTATTTTATACACTGTTTGTTTGTGTATAACTTTGTGCTGTGGGCAACAGCTGTGCGATTAAATTGAAACTAACACCCCACTTCCATGTTAATGTAGGGTAATCAGTGCAGAAAAAGTGGGTCCAACTCATCTGCAATGGCCTGATCTAGAGACCTAAGGAGCAAGCTCCTCTGGCGCACACTGTATTCAGTCAGTGGCATGGCCGGTGCCTGTAATAACATCAAATACCAATAGACTCTGGTTTCCATACATCCCTCTGCGGATTTTTAGCTTCCTTTCAGATTCCTTCAAGCCCTTCAGGAAGGGTCCGCAAATGATGGTTCCAGAAAACAAACACGTGTCCAACCCAAACTGCACGAGACTTGGCCAAGCACAAGATGCTCGTTCAGGCTTTGCTCACCAGAAGCTTCTGCAGTGGCTGGTTCACCTCCTGCTACTCGAGCGAGCGCACGGAGAGGACGAAGGCCCAGGCTTCCCCCCTCTCCCAGCACACGGATCCCGGCACGGGAGCATGCTACTCACGTCGTAGCCTCTGAGCACCGCGAGGTGGAAGGCCAGAAGCTGGAGGGGGATAACRCTGAGGATGCCCTGCAGACAGTCCACCGAGTGGGGAACCTTGATCGTTCGCTTGTTGTTCTCAATCGTCTCAATGTCTTCCTTATCACAAATCACTACAGGTCGCCCCTGCAACAAAGGGAAATACCTAAAGAAAAACGTCTTGAAAGGCTTTTTTCTTGCTTCTGTTCAGCTTGTGGCAACAAGAACCTCTCGCTGAATGCAGAACAAAACAATCAAGGGGATTGCTGTAGCCTATTTTAATAGGTAAGCATAATACCTATTGCAGTTTGTATGTCTTGCCTTATACCAGTGGAGTTTTCATCTATTTTAGTTCTTTTTAACCAGAAGTCTGCAATGGCAAGGCTTGTAGGCTTTGAAGGGTGACCTGTTCTAAGGCCTGATGGAACTGGATAGCTCATGAACTTAAAACAAAACTACTGCTTTTTTTTTTTTCTTTTTCTTTTTCCCTAAGTTAGCAAAATGCAGACATTTTAAACTGAAAGTCAGCTCGTATTCCAGGTTCTGGGAGAGATACCTACTAATGTTTTGGACCTAATCCACACTGACAAAAGGTCTTTGGCTCCAGTGTCTACTACTGTCCTATAATAAGTGTTACAAAGGTATTCTCTTTTGAGGCTTAAGGATGACAATGAAGCCACTGATCAATCCGTCTTAACCCCTTTTCTAGTCTTGTAAGCCTGCACTTAAAAAAAAAGAAAAAAGCATAAGTTATAGGTAGAGACATTGAATAGTTACCAGATTGCAGCAAACCTGATCTAAGCTGGACTGGGGATAGACGTATCCAACTTTCCAAAGCTTTGGCTGCACAGAAGTGGTTTTGCACCAAAAGCCACACTCCTGACGTGCTCTGCACTCTCACAGGCACCTACCTGCCGCGCAATCACTTGCTGCAGAGCGTTCTGGCACTTGGCGTACGTGTGATCTCGCATGATGATCATGATCACAGGCATCAGTTTGTCCACTAGCGCAAGAGGGCCGTGCTTCAGCTCACCGGCCAATATCCCTTCGGAGTGCATGTAGGTAATTTCTTTAATTTTCTGAATGTGGAAAAAGGAATTCATAAAGCTTTGGGCAATTTTTCTTTGCCAGGAGCTTTCCTAATTTCTAGTGAAAAGCAGCGATTAACCTTGTAAAAATACATTCAGGGTCTGCTCAGGTCTAATATTTGAGAAGGCAACCTGAAAACCTAGTTCGGACAATGTGTCATTGACACAACACTTCTATTGATAAAGCCATCAACAGCCTTGTGATTTGCACTCAGCCTGCACATGTATCATCATAGCATCAATAGCAGCAGAAATATCCTCAAAGGTAAGAACTCCAAAGCAGAGATTTTAGGAAGTGCTCAACTGCAGTGGGATTGTACAAGGATTTTACAAGGCTAAGACACCGTTAGCAGCTTGTCAATAGTCTTGCAGCCACATGGCCCTCCCTGGGCTGGAACTGGAGTCCAGAACGAAGGGCACTGAAAGTGGTAGTAAATGAAGACATCTCTTACCAAAGCTCCCTCAAGACATGTCGCATAGTGGTAGCCCCGTCCCATAATGAGAACAGACTTCTGATGGTAGAGCTCTGTTGCCAGCTTCTGGATCTCGTCATCCATGCTCAGCACTTCCTTAATCAAGTCTAGCAAGAAACAGAAGAACCGAAGCTGCAGCTGCTTCTAAGCCCCTGCCCTCAAGCCGCCCAGGCAGTACATATACATATATACATATATGCATATACACATGAAGCAGTGACTTCAAAGTACTGGGCTCAGTGCTTTACACTCAAGTTCAGCACCCTGAAGGCATCAGAGGGAAGGTAGTGGTTGTAAGCTCACACCAGTGGCCACCTCCCACTAATCTGATCCCTGCCATCTTTTCTCCCCTTGGATTTTCCTGGTGCCAGAAAAGTCGAGTCATTCCTGAAGCTCCAGTTTATGCTGGCAAGGCCACAATCCGTGCAACGTTCCTACCTGGCAGCCCCTTCAGGCCACGCATGATCTCCTTGCGCCTTTCCTGCATGGAAATTCTGTCATCGCACATCATGAGCGCGAACATCACCAAAGAAACAAACTGGCTGGTGTAGGCCTGCAAGAGAGGGAAGCAGCCATCACCTACAGCCTTCATGCTGGGGCTGCGAACACCTCTCAGCCCCGCTGCCCACCCACGGCATGAAGGACACACAAAGAATCATTCTAGCAATGCTCAATACTCAAATTGGGGTTTATTGTGCGACAGACGGACAAAGGGCAGCTGGGAGAAGCAGTTCAGAAACTTAACTCCTAGACTAATTATTGACTTTATTCTTAGCAAATTATAGTTCTCATCCCAATTAAGCAGGAAAGAACTGAAAGGTGACTGCTGTCAGTGGCTTTGGGGGGAAAGCTGTGTTCACCTGCACAAACAAGTGGAACTAGTGCTCATGTGAAGAGAATCCCACCTGCAAAAGCATCGGAGCCAGAGTATGGAAGAGCTCTTGTAAAATTAAGGATTTAAGAGGCCTGATAAGGCAAACGTTATAAAATGGTCCAAGATGCCAGTCTGGGATGGAGGTTTGTTAGGTGAAGATTAATTCCTGTAGATTCTATCCCTTTCCAAAAAAAATGATCAAACTTGGTATATTGGAAAAGATTTAAATAGCTTTAAAGGAATTTAGAAAAGCTCCAGTTATACCAATTAGCAGAGTTAGATACAAAATGTTTGTTTTGGATAGCACGCAGTTCAAGGCTACAGAAGTAAACAGCACAATCCAGAAATGCTAACATTGCCTGGACTGTTTATAATCTCAAAATGAAGTTCTGTGCAATGGTAGGACAAAATCTCTTCAAATTCATGTTTTACACGTGCATAGTTTTGGTAACTCCTCACATCGCCAGAAAGAAAATGCAATTTTCAGGTATCTCCAAACTGTAATGGTGGCAACGTGAAAACAACCGAGGCACAAACAACTCGTTCAAGAGCTCCTTGTAAGAGACTCATGAATTTTCCATGATCAAATTCCCCAATGAACTATTAAACTCAAATGTGGTTTTTGGCTGAATTTATGCAACAGATTGACATCATCACGCCTCTAAATATAACTAAATCAAAGCAGATTTCACCATGCAGAAGGACCTCATCGCAATGAAATGCAGCAATGCAAGTTATTTTATACTTTATCACACATAGCCAGATACATCTATCAGAGAATAACACTATCAGGAGACATAGGTACAGGTTTTCTTTAAAAGACCATTCCCACATTTGCTGAAAGTCCCATTTTAATATCTTATCATGCTTTCTTTGGTAAAGCAATGCCATTAAGGGCAGTTACGTTTCCAAACCTTTTCCTACAATAGCCTTTTTGATCTTTAGACCTTAGTTTAAACTAAGGAGCCTGCACCCAGGACAAGTGATGCTAGAGACAGGAGAGAATTCCTGCTGCTTAGGAAATTCTTGTCTGGGACGCCTTCAGTTTCAAGCTTTAATATTGCTTCCTTATAACACTTCTCTTGCAAAAAACAAAGCTCTTTAAGATGCAAGAAAATGAATGGTGTTATTGGACACATGTTTATTAACGACACAGTCATCAATAGAGACTGGTGGACAAGGGCACTGCAAACTTTTATCAGAGAACCCTGATGTAAGAGCTAACACCTTCGAGGGGCAATAAGAATATATTTGGAAAATTGCCCCTCATTTCCCAGTAGCACATTAAAAACTATACATTGCTGCTGCAGTGAGGTAAGCAGCTCTCTGAAGGCTCCAGTTACGCCTCTTCTCTTTAAGTTGTATTTAGTGGTGCTGCTGCAGTCCCATCTTGATAAATCTAACATCTTATAGGTTTATAGAGAGGGAAGAGATTCTGCTGAGACGTAATTTGATCTGTATTTCTTGCCTAGTTCCAATACAGACTCCACAGAATGATTTTAAAGACAAAGAGCCCAATTCTCCTGCTACTGCTGAGCTAAGCGCTCTTACCAAGTAAGTGAGCAACAGCCAAACAGAAAACGTAGCCGGAAACCAGGCATATGGTGACTCCAATTTTAATTGTAAAATGCTCTTAATTTTTTTTTCCTCCTCCTCATTTAAAAAATAGAAGTGTGTGGACACTTTAGGAAACAGGGTTTCTCCTACCTTGTTTTAGATCTTTCCTTCCATTCACCAAAGTATTTTTTATTATTTTTGAAAACCTGACGAGTTCTGGTAGAAGTTGAGTTCGGAATGCTTTGGTTGTTAAAAATGCATCAAAGTTATCTTTAAAAACACAACACTGAGGGCCTACGTCCATGGTTAAAATGAGGTCAAAAACGATCACAGTAACAAGGAGTGACAGCTACAACTGAGTATTTACCTTCGTACTGGCAACCCCAATCTCGGGGCCTGCGTTGATATGGACTCCACAGTCCGTCTCTCGTGAGATGGAGCTGCCAACCGTGTTGGTTATTCCTACAGTTAAGGCTCCTCTCTCCTTGCAGTAGCGAAGGGCCATCAAAGTATCCGCAGTCTCACCTGGAAGGACCAGTATTTACGGTGCTGTTACTGGATAATAAAAGCTCAGTGCTTTCCTAAGTGCACTCCTACTGCCTGTGAGTTAAACGGGGCAGTCGTTACCTCAGCTGCTAACAGTCAGGGCAATGCACAGTATTTTTACACTGAAAAGACAAGACTCAGGTCTGCAAAATACACAACCTGATGTGAGTACTTGGTATCAGGAAAGTTTAGTGCAGTGCTAAAGTTTAGATAAAAAGTCACAGTATCTCTCATTCACTATTTATTAAAATTCACCTAAAATAACAATTGCTTTTAATATCATAGCTAAAGATGAGCTGTGAAGACCTACAATGCTACAGGCTGCTAAAAGGAAAAGAATACTGCAACAGTCCTTAAAGCTATTTTCAACAGGATATATCAATTTATTTTGTTTTAGTTTAAGTGTATGTTTTATCTCACATTCCACTCCAAGGCCGCATTTTTTCCACATACTTTGGTTTCATAGTTTCATTTCTTTTATGGATCCAGTCCAGGATAGTTGAAATGGTGCAAATGCTAAAAGAACTAAATCTATTCAAAAGCAACTACTGAGTTGTCCTCTACCTATATAAAGCTCGATAGATTTTTTTTTCAGTCTGTTGATTGATGGACTGTTTTCTCACAGAGAAAGGTAAAAGAACAGCTATTGCCATACGTAAGACTCAACTAACAGAGCATGCAAACAGACACAAGGAGCCCTGATATATTTTCTGCCATCTCCAGTCCCTGGGTGCCAATTTCTTCACTCATGTCTCCCACCAGCAGCCCTATGGAGCTCGGCCTTGCAGACTCCTCCCTCCCAAGCAAAAACTTGTGGAATATCCATAAAAAGTGGCTGGTAAAGTGAGACTGTACCTGACTGGCTGATGAAAAAGCAAACATCATCTCTGAAGACAGGAGTGTTTCTGTCCAGGAAGTCACTGGCTAGTTCCACCATAACAGGCAATTCTGTCAGTTCTTCCAGAACCTGACGAGTCTGCGAGTCAGAAAGTTCCATATTACATCCTGTTTAAAAACTAAGTAGAGGACAAAAAAAGCCTTCTAGCTGCACACACTGGAAAATATTACTATCAAAATACTATGTGCAAGTTAGCACTGGGTTCTATTTTAATTAGTCTACTCAGATTCACACATAGCTAGGCTTAGGAAAACCAACTATGCTTTTAGCCACACACATTTTCAGGCACCTGTGAGGCCACCAGCACAGACAACATTTTCATTAATACTCTAGTTTGCCGGGTTTTAGCTCCTAACGAGGTCATTGATAATTTGAAAAGCTGAGGTATGCAGATTGGCAGAACGTTTTCCCTCCTCAGCACGTATTTACTCAGTGTCAACATCCCATCCTTAGCCTGCTCAATACACACAGTACTGGGCCCACTCTTCAATTCCAGCTGCAATTCCTGGTGAGATTCAGACTGACCCCTTACCGCAACTCCAGCATGGTAGCTCGTCCCACAGGCAATGAGGATTAAGCGACGACACCTCTGAATCTCCTTAATGTGATCCTTCAACCCGCCAAGATTTACTGTAAGCAGATTCAGGAGAAAATCAGGGTGGAAAATCTAGCAGAAAATCTCAAATTAACACAGTGCTCTTAGCCCTAATGAAGCTGTCAATCAGCCTGTTAGCAGAAGAGTAATCTCAAACACTGAGTTTACCACCAGAGCACGTCATTATGGAAGGACTCACTGCCAGCCCCACGCAGTGTTTCCATTTCTCAGGCCATCATCTACTTCCTCCTCTGTGAATAACCACTAGGTACTTGAGCTGTCAAAAATAAAGCATTAATTTTATTTACCAGTGTAGTCGTCAAAATTGACCCTTCCTCTCATTGTATTAACAACAGATTCTGGCTGTTCAAAGATTTCCTTCTGCATAAACGAACTGAAGTTACCTATAATAAAAAGAATGACAAAAGAAACCAAATGAAAATACTCTAAATAACCTCCTGATACGCTCTGTACATCGGCCTCTTACATATTAAGAGGCCAGTCGCCTATCAGAGATCACTTTTTGCTCCTGTGCTTAAATAGCTATTAGAAAGATTAACTGCACAGCTCATTTTGTAGCAAAGCATGAGCTAATCATGAGAATATTCAAGATACCAAAGTGTCTCAACAATGAGCGTGTCAACTTGTAGTTATCTAGAACTGCCAACCTGCTAGGGAATCATCTTTAAAAAACAGATTCCTCCCAACACAGGCAAAGAGAGAGACTGGAGGATTTCTCTCCTTGAAGATGAATTAAACACTTGACTAAAACAGGCCCTAAGCAATCCCATCTACTCAGACCTGCTTTAAACACAAAGACTGGATTAGGTGGCCCCAAGGTCCCTTCCCAACCTAACCTGGGGTACGTGGACATCTACAAGGACAACGGCCAAAAGAATTTACCCTTCATGATCTGTTGCAGTTCCATCTGCAGGGTCTGGACGGCGCGGCCCGGGTGATCGCCTGCCGTGCGTTTAATGCGGTGGATGGAAAGACGTCCATCAACCACAGCTGCTACGTCGTCGTCTTCCAGGAAGATCACTCTGTTGGTGTGCTCAATGACAGCGCTGGGGAGAGCACACAACATCTGCCATAAGACACCACTCTTGCCAGCAGGGTGAGGACTACATCTCTATTACTATAAAATAACGCGAATGGCCACATACAGTTTACTGATGCTCCTAACAGGCACCACTGCATCTGAGTTTCCTGCCCAAGGTCTCAAATGTAAGCAGCTCCAAATGAAAACATCTTTTACGAACACTTAAAGGTTCTGAAGAGCGTTACCTAGCGTCGGAAGTGAAGTAGTACTCCACGGCTTTCTCCTCAACGGGGAAAAGGCAGGTGGTGCTGTCAACACGGGACAGGTTGCAGCTTCCCTTCTTGTCTTTACCTGGAAGACCCGGGATTAGCACTGGGCACACACAAACATGGGCTGCTGCTGCTGTACCGGTAGGCCCAACCCAATGTCCCAAGGTGCAGTATCAACATGAAGCACTGTTTTTATCACCGAGACTCATCACAGTAAATTTAACAGTGAAAATAGCAAGAGTGCAATGAAGCAGCACTGCTATTATCATGCTCTTCCTCAGTTTGTTTGCATTTTTCATGTGCTTTTGAATTATGGGTCTAAGTTTAATGATGAGTGCAGAGTACTTAGAGAAAACATTAACAAAAATTAAAAAGCACCCAAAAACTTACGCATGGCTGAGGGTGGAAATCAAGCTCCTTTATGAGCATCCACATTTACCACATTCACTAACATCTTCCTAGCTGGATCTGTCGCGTTTCCAATTATAAACTTCTCCTGTGTTTGAATAAACTTTCCTGAGGCTTTGAAAGCTCTCCAGCAGATGTTCTCAGCACTGGATGAAATGCTTTCACAGGGGCAACATGTGCAACTGTTCCACTGAGCACCGGCAGATGTGACCAGAACCTGCTTTTGCCTGGCTGAGCTCAGGTCTTCAGGCCAGGAATCCATGATTAAGCACTCAGTGCTGCTCCCCAGACAGCAAACACAAACTTCTCCTTCTGATCCAAAGCTGCAGGCAGCATTGAACAGCTGTAAGGGAAGTATTTAGGTGCACTGAAGGACACAGGGCTAGGAAGAATTTAATCAACTTTCAAAAATATTCAACTGAGCCTTAAAAAGGAGGTCAGTGTTTCACCGGGGATCCTTTCAGAAGCACTCCAGTACTTCCCATACATTTAACACCTATTTAACTGTAAAAAGTACTTCTCGTGGGTGAAGCTCAACATTCACTGCTCTAGGTGAAAATCTAAAGAAAAAAATATTGCTTTCATGTTGGTACTTAATAAGAAAGTTCCACGTAGCTACAAATTTAGGGCTCTCCACTTTAGTTATCAAGTCAGTAATCGAAGATGAGCAGAAAGGACAGAGTAAGAAGAGTGGGAATGGCCATTCTCCAACAGAAGCACCCATCCTCGATTAAACCATGCAAATTTTGTTTCACAAAATAGAACATTTCCCTGCATTGACTTTATTATGTTGCATTGCTTTCCTGTGCAACAGGGCTCTGCCATGAGCTGTAACTGCAGCGTGTTCCTCCACCTACATCTGCACGGTGTGGCTGGAGCTCCCAGGCAGCGCGTGAAAACGCACCCTGAGCGTTCGCAGCCACGGGAGCATTTGCAGACACTTAGGGCTGTTATCTCACCTATGATACCACCTTATCTGTGGCTGACCTGGATTGCAGCTGCAGAGCACCTACTTCCTATTTACAATTCAAAAGCACACAGAAGTAATCTTTTCCCTTCTGTAACCAGAGAAGGGAGATGTCACTGAGAGTTCACAGTGGCGGATGCAAGTCTGGGGGGAAGGGGCTGCTTTGAGTATATTCTGATCCCATCTCGCTCTCAGTGACTGCAGTTTTAAGCATCTGCTGCTTAACAGAGTCTTCCAGACCTACCTGAGTAGTGCCACAGTCTACATTTCTTTAAGAGGTGTTTACAGAAGACAAAAGCATTATAAAAGTAATGGCACGATGATTATAGTGAAAGATTCCCTAATGCCAATGCTTCTTACAGTCAATCTTTCAAAAAGTCTTAGTGCCACTGGAAGTTAAATGACTTTAGTTGTTAAGGCCACTGGGCATTACCCTGACCGGGTAACTTCAAAATTTTACTCTTAGAAATGTGCAGCTCTTTGACAACCTGGTTTGCTGACGAGATTCCAGGTAATGTTTGCATTAGAATTAGTACTAGGCTCTTAAGTCACCTTATTTCTAATTCCAGTGGGTTTCACTCTATTCTTTTTATTTAAGGCAATTTACTGTTTCTTTTTGTGGTCAAAGCTGCAGGGAGCACATGGGACAACTGCAGTAAGTCATCAGTTTTGTGAGTGTTCTACATTGTGCAAAAATACTTTAATGCAGAATTTTCCTGGGTGTTGCTCAAGATGTTTCTGATAAAGAAGAAATTCTGATTATCCCATTTGTTTCACTGTGGGATAATACACTGCTACCTGGAAAGCAATAACCACATATTAAAGAGACAATGCAAATTTCCCTCATTTATTATTCCTTTCCTAAAGAACTGGAGGGATTTATCTTAAATTTCCAGTATTCTACTTTCTCAGGTAGGCACCTTCCTCCATTTTTATGGATATTCCATCAAAAGAATGATCCATAGACTGCCCAGCTGCAAGTGCAATTAGAAAGAAAAACAACTTCAGATAAGCAGTATAAACAAAACAAGGGTTACATACATACATTAGGGATTTTTATTAACCATACAGTGTGAATCAAGAATAAACAGGCAGACGTTACTGGGACTCTTCCCAGATGCCATGGGGAGATAGTCGGGCACGGGCACACCCCAAGTCTTTGTGATCACTGCAGTGCTCAAAGTCCACAACCTGAACAGGTTCAGACCCCTCAGGCAACACTGATGTGACTGTTACCATTCCTGTGGCAAAGCAAGCAGGGTACTGTCCTCCCTTAACCAAATTTAGGATGGACTTCAGGTCTGTCAGAGTAACAGCCTGCAGAGGAGTAGTTTACAGCTATTCTGTGTATTCTGTGACCTCTGAGGCACTTAGGTGATCAAGGGTGTCGCTGTCTATGTGCAGTGGTAAAACAGACATGCAAGCAAGATGCATAGACAAGGTACATACAAGGTACATACAGATCACCCACAGGGCTTAGCACATGCTACTTTGGTTTGGTTTTAACCATTCTGTTACAGAAGAAAGAAGTTTTGCCAACGTGAACAGCCTCCAGCCTGCAAAGCACAGTCACGTTCTTTTTTTTCCTTCAAAACCATGTCCCTGAATGCCAATATGCCACAAATATAAGCTCTTAAGTTCAGCTACAGCACAAAGACATGTTTTTCTTACAGCCATATAGCACAAAAGTATTGATTGAAACTAGAGGTCAGTTCTACTGGTATAGCAAGACAGCAGAGAGCAAAAGCAGCAGGTTCTGTATCCTTCATGATGCCAGCAGAGGAAGCTGTAGCCTATGGTATAATGTATAGTTAAAAACTTCTTTATTTCAAAATTCTCCTTTTTAATAGAGTTTAATGTACAGCTCAGCTTGCAGCTGGGATGCTGTGCAAACACTTTTATGGTGGTCCGAGCGTGCCTGGAAGCTGCTTGGCAGCAGGGGCCCACACTTACCGGTCCTATACAGGATTGGGATGTGGTCAGTGGAGAGCTTGTGCTCACTGCGCACTCCGATGAGCAGGGGGCTGCCTCGCCTGTAAGCAGAACAGCAACCACTACCATCAGTGCCCAAACTCCGCAGCCAAACCTTCGACCTGCAGGAACCGCTCTTTCACAGCACAGATGTGAGCCACAGTTGCTACACTAGCAGCTTCTAGCAAGGCAAGAGAAAAAGCCTAGAAACAGCACATGGATGCAAGAAAAACGCTGTTTTCAAAAGCAACACTCACCTGGTACCAACTGCTTGACCGGGATAATGAACACTTTTGAACACGAGAGCAAAAGCACCTTCCTGGAATAAGCGAAATACAAACTGCCATCAAAATCTGCAAGTAAAGCTCCTCCTTTGTCTATAGCTGCTCTAGCTTTTGCCAGGCAAATTACTAAGAAYTGTCTCCTAAACAAGCTGGTTTTGGAAAGAGAAGCGTATTCATGCTGGATCCTCTTCACATGTGCAAATTAGCAAATAATAAACACATGGAAGAGGGAAGCATCATGTTTTACAATTGAGCTTCTACAAGCGGTCAGCATCTCTTCCAAATGGGAGGTTTATCCAGAGTAAATAATGTACAGATTCAGGAAAGATCTTAAGAAAATGCTTAATTTTCTTGCATCATGTCCCACGGGTTCCAGGGAAACCTCAGCAAGAGCTCAGAAGTGGTTCTAAATTCGCTCTCTTAAATGTGTGTCTCAAAATGTGACTTTGTTAAGCAAACCAACCACCGCAGACACACAGCAAGAGAAAATAATGTTAAAAATCTGTGTGTTTTCTCCTTACTCAAGTAACTGGCTGCCTCAAGATACTACTGAAACCAAAAACTTCGCACTAGTAAATATTTAGGAGAAAACTATCTACATGACTTAAGAAAGGACAGGTTTCTAAAGGAGAGTGGAAATTACTGTCCTTTCTCCAGGCAACAGACAAAATATTAACTGCCTGCAATTAGGAAAGAAATTAAACTGAACTTTCAGAAGCAACCTTGTGCTTGCACATTTACACTACTGGATTTCTTGCAATCCTGGCACAGATGGGCATAGATCCACGGATCAGATTCAATACTCCAGGTAACAGTGTCCAACTTGGGAACATGTGAATAAAACTTTTATATTTTTACTCATCTCCACCAGGATAAATACATATCCTCCCTGCTCCTCCCACCCTTTTAAAAGTACATTACCAGTTGCTGGATAACCCTCTCCACAAGGGTGGTGAAGCTAATGTCATCACTTTCACGATTATCGTACATGTATTTGACCAGCTTTGCAATACTTTCTGTGTCGGTCTCGGACTCAAAATCATATCCTTTGCTTTCCTAAAAGGAACCAACCCCCAAAAAATCGGGTTATTAATTATTTTTCAGCATTATCACCTTTAGTCCCTATGAATATCTATTAACTGCTGCCCAAATGATAACTACAGACAGCAATCCCTTTCCCCCAAATGTTATCACCTGAATTTAAAACATGAAAAAATGTGAATAGAAAGGAAGATGGAAGGGAACGACATGGAGATAAGTGCAGCAGCACTGGAAAGGCGACAGCCTCAGCACATTTGTCAAAGAACAGGATGTAAGAGCAACAAAGATGCAGGATGATCAGCATCTGGACTGGAATTTTAATCATGTGGATGGAGAGGAAAGGAGCACGTTATACACAAAGAATTGGCATATTTACATATAAGCACCAATGTAAAGGCTTATAAAGGAGCCCTATTCATTTATGGTGGGTATCTTACAGAGCTGAGTGACAAGTTTAATAGTGGCAATGCTTGCAACTCTATMAGGAAAAACGGATGACAGTTCTATCCCGAAGGATCTTCAACATGAGTTGTTTCAAGTTCTTGGGTGTTTTGCCATCTGCTGGAAGGACTACACAGTCTGCTCAGCAGTGCTTTACTCCATCCCCAGATACATTCCCTCTCTCACAAACACTCCAGTTTTGCTTACCAGGAATTTCCGCAGGTCCTTGTAGTTGGTTATAATGCCATTGTGGATGACGATGAATTCTAGACAGGAGGAAATACACTGCTCAGATCCAAGGCGCAGGCAAATGTTTGAGGTGCCTTAAAATAGCTGCACAGTGAATATTATACTCCTGTGGCCTGCCTGTACACATGGCAGTATAAGACCAGAACACTGAACAGAGTCCACAATTTTAACTGCTATTAAGTGCAATGCTATGCTTAGCAGGAAAAAGATAAGAGTTCACTCTGTGGTGCCATTTCCCTGGTCTGCTCCAGTTTAGTTGCTCTGTAATGGCAAAAGCTAATAATTATATGGGTGGACAAATTAGATGTTATAAAGTTCTTTGAGATTCTCAACTGATTGGCAATTTAAGAACCCACACTTTCCAGCAGTAATCAAACAGCTCACACTCTCATCTTGCTGGTGCCACCCACCAGGCTGTTACCACAGAAATGTGTCCTACCAATCCACTGCATTCTGCAAGAGCCCAGAGCAGACCAAACCTCTGCTGTAAAATGGTGATTATGGGAGAGAAAAAAAAAAATAGAAAGAATGGTAAAATGCTTACCATGCAATTTAATCTGGGTTTTTATATCGTTGCAGAGTGGCCACACGCTCAAGGAGGCTCTGGGGCACTGATCCCAGCGCTCCCAGAGCTCATTACAGCTTGGCCCACAGCTCAAGACCATGGCCAAGTCCCCACTGGCTTCTGCCTAACTGGGATTAGTACCACAGCCTGAAACAGTTCCTGCTCAAGAAAACTCATTTTCTCAAGCAAAAATTCTTACCGTTGTTTTTATCCGAGCGCTGCGGGTGGCTGTTGATAGGATTGGGCTCCCCATGGGTAGCCCAGCGGGTATGTGCAATTCCAAGATGTACATCAAACTCAATGTCAAGATCCATATCCTGTTGCTCTGTAGGCAGAAGGATAAGAAGTTGTGATTACTGAGGGCCTGTCTTTATCCCATAGCCAAGGTGGAGTCTTAGCAAGCTTTCAAAGTAAGCACCAAAACAAAAATATAATCAGCAAATCAGTAATAAAGTGTCAAGTGTATAAAACTACCAAAGTGATAAAGTGCCTTTCCCCCCCTGCAATATTTACAAGTGAAATACACAACTTCATTCCCACTTGGAAAGCACTAAAACTGCCACCTAGTAGAGATGGGGGAGAGAGGCTCTTCACCCAAGAACCCCTAGAGCAACCACTGCATCTTTCACATCACTCCCTTGCACAAAATACAGAGTAACTTTAACTAAAAAGCCAATCTTATTTTCTCTCTTAGATGCATTTTGTGATCCCCATCATTTTAAATGCATTAATATCTGTAATGATTGAACTAGCTTATTTCATAGTTATGTAATACTAAAATTAGAATATTCATCAGTAATGCTTAATCTCTAGAAAGCATAATGTCAATGTTAATATTTTTTAGGGAAAATAATCGTTCTTTTGTTCCAACAGGGCCCCCACAATCTCTTCAAGCCTATACACAGCCTATAATTTTCTTGATCAGGAAAATGTTTTTTTGCAAAGTATTTTGTATACCTTGTATTGCTGAAATGCGTGCATCACCTCACCTGCCCTTTTCAGTTTCTGGTTTTCATCTACCCACCTTCCTTTTGGATAAATGACATTCTACTGTGAGATTAATATTACCATGGATTAAAAACAAGTTATGTAATCAATTTCTTTTCAGTTTCATTTATATGATTTCTCTGAGTAAACTTTAATAACAYCACAACTGACACCTGGAAAAACAAATGTAAACAATGGACCCCAACTACTCCGAAAAATTAACAGAAAGCAGACCAAGATTTCACATGGAACGACGTTATACTTGCTTCCTGCACAGATTTAATGCATTGAAAATACAAAATACACAGAAGGCCTCACTTTGTGCTTATCAGTTTGACAACTAAACTGATGCTTAATTGGAAGAAAAATGGCAAAGAAATCAAGAGTAACACATACTGTGAACCTCTTCATCCAGGGCCTTCACCTTCCCTTTCTGCTTGATGAGCTGGATTTTACAAGCATTAGCTTCCCAGTCTTTGTCATTTCCTCCATCAATTCCCACACCTAAACAGCACCATAAAATAAGAAGAAAGAGTGTAAAGTGCTGAAAATACTTTGCAGTATTTCACAGAAACAAATACAGAACTGTTTTGACAGTGCCCTTTCTTCTCCCATCTGAACCTCAAAATGAAGATTAGAAGCCCCTTAGCTTGAAAACAGAATTCCTCTTTGTTGCCTAATCATTATTCTCAAACGCTTGCATAAGACACATCAGAAATGTTTACAAAAATTGGTAAATCTGAAGTTAATCCAAATCTCTGATCACAGAAACCTCCAATCTGCACCTCAGTTCTCTTTATAAATAAGCAATAATTGAAAACATCATAAACAAACCAACTCATTTACAAGCCAAAAGCCAAAAATGAGTGGCTGCCACTTGCAGAAAGTACCTGCAGAATCATATCCTCGGTACTCCAGCCGCTGGAGCCCTTTGATGAGGGTCTCCAGGATCTCCCGTCTTGTCCGGGGAACATGGTAGTTCAGGTAAGCAAAGATTCCTGTGTGGGGAAGAACAACATACTCATTAACAGCACATTAGCTATTATAAACCATATTGTTATGAACGAGACAGAAATCTGTTCTTGTTATCTACAGGCATGTATTAAGTCAAAGAAAACACCAAACTCAAGCAGAGGTTTGCACTGAGAAACACCTGCATGGATGTACCACTGTGTCTGGAGCTTCTCCTGCTCCATCTGAAGACCGATGTCACTTAGATCCGAAAGACCCAAAGCACAGAAATGCCAGCAGTGACTGCAGAGAAGCAAACTTGGTAACTCAGATGAGCAAAAAATGAACCAAAGCATCAAAGGCTCATGCTGCTGGCCTTTAGCTTAGTATATTCCTGGGGATTTTTATTGTTGTTGTTGTTTTGGGTTTTTTTGTTTAGTTTTTTGTTTATTTTCTCTCTCAGCAGGCAGCAATACAAGATCTGCAGACCAAGTTCTGCACCATTTCTGCATCGTTCAGGTTATAAGACTGTCCTTCCACACACCATAGCCCTGTTGTTCTCTGGATCCCAATGCCTGTCAAATCCCTGTTCTCGCTGCACTGACATCCAGCTGAAGCCACACAAATCCATGGAAAGAGAGGAACCGCATGTGTCTTTATAGCTGCTTAAAGGCTTCCATGCCCGGTGCCCTGCCACCGAGCGCCAACTCTTGACATTTCATTTAAATCACAGCAGTCAATGGAAACACATCTGTTTTGATGGGATTCCAATGCCAATCCATCAAATTTCCAGCAGATCCCAGCTAAGATGTCACCAGCTGGTGCTGCTTGCCAGCCTGGATCCCAAGTGCAGAAAATATCGAAGTTGGGCTGTTCCTGAAAGGAACCCGTGAGGCCTTTCGGGTCCCTAACAGACCTGAGAAGTTTCAGTTTCAGCTCAAACTCCCCATTTGGCCAGTGCTGCTGCAGCTCCCAGCCAGCATGGAGCTGTTTCACTGGGGCTGCCACAGCTGCCCTTTGCTGCGGGCACACAGGAACATGCCAGAAAGAGGAAATATTGCAGAAAATCCCCAGAAACAAAGGACATTCCTCATGTTGTTCTCGGTGAAATACACACAACGTCAAACCTAAAACATTCCCTGGGAACTTCATTCAACTCTAGAATTGTACCTAAATTTGTGAATGCTAGATAGGAAAAGACAGCAGCAAGAATAACTACAGGAGTTTACATCTGATTGTTTCTATTGCCAATAGTCACCAAAAAAGCTTTTTCTCAGAACTTTCTTTTCTTGGGATCTTTCTGTTGCCATGTATCCTTATTTCATGGTAATTTCATAAGAAAATCACATGAATCACCTCTTCCAGGTAAGAATAAATTACCACCCCCAACATCCCATGTTCAAGTTACTAAGGAATAGCTTTTCCTAGCCCTTTTCCCATGTAAGCAGAAAAAAAGCCTTCAGGCTATGTTTACTTCAGCTTTATAAGTGTATTTCTATCCCACTGTTAAAATAATCTCAACAGACAATGTTGTCAGCACATCGGCTTGGCGGTTCTGAAGAATCCCTTGTCTTGGCGGTGACTATTAGGCCCCAGTTCTTCAATAAATTAAATGCAAGCTACTAGATACCACACATATAAAACGTTACAGGTTGGGAACTTTTCTTTAAGAGGAGGAGAAATCCAGCAGGAACATGTTGGCAGAGCTGGATCTCCCACCTGGACGTGCTCACCCCTCTCCAGTTCCGCACGTTGCCCAAGACACAGAAGCATCGTGCAGAGCAAGACGCTAATTCCCAGCACCCCGAATGAGCACAAGGTCAGAAACGAGCAGCTTTCATCACTGTGACTGTGGGCTCTATCTGGTAGAGCTTTGGTTCAACCCACCCAAGGCCCCACTGGAAAAAAAAAGCAAAGCAGAAAAACATCCGCTCAGTGAAGAACCACATTTTTCCACTGGATGCCTCCTTTCCTGCCAATGCACACACCTCTCTCTTCAGATTAAATGGCAAAACTTCTCCTGTCTGGAGTAAATAACCAGTGGATCAATACTGGGATTCGTTTATGACAAGAACCTCTATTTTATATCTTAAAGAAACAAATTTTTTTCTTCTTCTTCTCTTGGGGCAAAAAATTAAAAACCGCAATGATGGAGAGGCAACCCTAAACCCTGAAATGCAAATCCTCAGTTGGCCCATTCCCATCTGCAGTGATCACAAATAATGCGAGACCTAAACCCTAACACCACTACTTGTTGTATACAACAGTCCTAGCATGGGATGGGTTTATTATTTACAGAACAGTCCACTGGCTACCTCGAAAAACCTGTTTCCAAACTATTTGCAAGATGAGATTAAACTGGTTGGGCACATTCAGACCGAAGAATGTGCAACCTACACCTTCTCTGGTCCGAAGCTGTCAGGGGGACAGCTTCCACCATGGGAACAGTTCTCATGTTCTTGCTTTTTAAACTCATCCTGACCTTCCAGCTCAGCCAAACCAGACAAATCAACCTGGGGTCTCCTACACAAACACTGTCCGATGACTCCGTCGGCCAACGAGGCCGCTGCGGAGCTCAGGATGGTCACCGGGACCTCGTGGCAACGGACCTGGCTGATCCCTGCTCCTAGGCACAAGATTCCTGTCACCTCAGCTGAGAGAGAAAATTAAGGTTCATATACGTAGCTGAGCAGCCTGAGTACTTCTACAAGTGAGTTCAACGTTTTTATGGTATTGGCAGGACTCCTTTTTTCAACAATTTATTCACCTCGCTCTTCTGCTCCAGCCTACCACTGCTGCGTGGCGGGAGGAATCGCCCAAGAGCTGCCAGAGCGAGGAACATCTCACGCCATGAACTCAGCGCAAGGTCAGCGTTGCCTTCAGCTCATCAGCTGCCGCGCCAGGGCAGCGCCCAGGAGCCCGCGGACCTTCCCTTCTGCCAGCTGTGCTTAACCTCAACTCACAGGAGCTCATGTGCTAACGCCCTCAGGCTCCGAACAGAAACGTCACTGTCTCCACACAGAGAATTCCTGCATTCAGACACTCTTCAGTTTCCAACACTCGTCTTCCTCCTTACTGTAACTCTTTAGAGAAGCCCATTCCATCAATGTTATCCTTATTTTTTAGGAATAGGAAATACTGAGAAATAGAAATGTTGTTGAAGAGTCAACAACAATGAATGACTCTTGATGCTTTTCTTAAAGTCAATATCCTAGAAGGGTTTTGCATCCACTGAAAAGGGAAAAAATGTGTTTACAGGGAAACAGATTTTGAATAGAACTAAATAACAACCTCGAGAATTATCAATGTTTATCACCATTAGGAAGACACTCAGCAGAGGGTTAGCATTACCCATCTCAGAGGCTGGACCTCAGGAATGGCAAGCGCAACGCACCAAAAGTACCCCTTGCAGCAAGGATTCCTGCAGCAAGCTATTTATAATAATAATTACACCTTCTATTCTTAGCTTTGTTCCACTTTCTACCTTTAACACAAATTAACACAGTGCTAAATGTAAGCCAAAATGTGTATTTCTGACTGCTTCTTCATGGTGCTCCGCAGACTTGACAGTGAGAAGGTGACGCTCTCCACTCTCCTTCAACCTTGCCAAAACCCTGGGAGAGCTGGCAAATCAAACCGATAAAATGTCCCTATGTGAAAAATTGATTAGAGCGTTTCCTCTAGTTTTAAACCCAAAGAAAACACAGGAAGGAAAATGAAAAGAGGGAGGAAACATGGGGAAATGAAAATACCGTAGGTGCGGTTTAGATTTCAGCGTGTGCGCGGCACTGCGGGCGGGGCGGAGCGGCGGGGCGCTCGTCCCGCGGGGACACGGGGGACACGGGGCCTGCGGGACGGTGCGGACCCGCCGTGGAGGGGGGGCCCAGCCCGGCCCGGCCGCGTCGGGGCCGGGCTGCGGGCAACAGAGCGCGACTCCCACCGGCGTGGCTCATTTCGTCCCACCTGGAGGGATTATTTTTTCCCCCCGGAAGGGTTATATTTTCCCCCTGGATGGGTTATTTTCTCCCGCCCGGAAGGTTTCTTCTTTCTTTGCACCTGGAAGGGCTTTTTTCCCCTGGAAGGGGGAGTGACTCCGGATCGGAGCCCCGCGGCGCTGCCCGCGGAGCCCGGCGCCGTTGCGGAGCATTACCCCCCTTCCCCCCCGGCCCCACGCAGGAGGGTCCCGGTGCCGGTGCCCCCGCTCCTACCGCACATGCTGCGCTCCGGGCGGCGGCCGCGC